AGAAGTAGTCCCTTACATTAAAGAGTCCATATTGTACACTTTTGTGCTACTGTAACACCGAGAGGACAATTTACATAGATCTTTTTCTTTCTCAGGTGATTGGCAGCAGCAGAATATTCCAGACCATGCTTGTCCCAAATGTGGGGACGTCCTACCTGACCTGGACTCCCTGCAGATCCACATCATGGATTGCATCATCTGAGCCTGTTGCCAAATAACAATACCAGATCCCCCCTATATGTGAATGAGTGGTTTGATAGCTTTACCTTCAAGCATCCTGAAACATAATGCTTTAATAACACAGGTCTATAAACCCTGCATCCTAAATATACTGTACATTATCAGTGTGGATGTTTCCAGATCAATAGATGTTATTGGTCGAGGGTGAGAATGAGCATTTAATCTGAATGGTTGGATATGGTCTAAATATGCCCTGTATGAAACATTCATTTAAGCTGCGTTGACAATGTATCAGTCAGCTATTAAGAAAAAGTATATTATGTTGCAGGTGTGCAATCAGTGTGGCATATATTACATACAAATATATTAATCTGCTGTGGGCGAATTACATTATTCATTGCAAAAATATTTTTGTTTAAGATTAACTTTGAATGTTTCTGAGAGAATCATTTATTTAACAGACTTGAAGTCTCATGTTGGTTAGTGGTTAATTATATTTTCATTATACTCAATGCCCAATTATACAGACAGATATCAACAGTATAATGTTTTTCTTCATTTTATTTGTTGGATCTGTTTAAATGAAGCACTTTATCATGGTAAGTAAGTGAGTAAGATTTGGGGTTATTTTTAATATAACTGTCTGTCTGTTAGTTAATACCTACCTAAATCTAATTAATAGTTTTCTGAAGTTCATAAAGATTGTCTTCGTCACATGCACTCTAGATGTTATTTTGTGTAAGTAACGTTAGCCCTGCAGTACGATGCACAATCTCAGCCTTGAAATCCATATTAAAGGATAGTTCATCCAAAAATTATAATTCTGCCGTCATTTACTCACCTTCATGTGCAAATCCTTATTTACTTTACGTGGAAGAAAAGGACATTGTTGAAGTATGTGGTCGCTCTTCTTGTCAATGTAATGAAAGCGAATGAGTAGCCTAGCTGGGGGCTATCACAAAAGTATCATAAAAGTGATATGATACGACTCGTCCGTTATATTCATATCGTTATTTAGTCATATGATAGCTTTAAGTGACGAACAAAACGCAACTAAAGTCGTAAATCACTGAGGATCTTCACCTCTTGATAGCATTTTTGTATGTTTTTTTTTAGGAGCAATTAACTACGGAGCCCCTAAAGGGACGTGGTGGTGGAAAAAAATTAGGATGGGAGAATTTTTTTTTTTCAAATCTTTTGCGTTCCCTCGCAAAACTTTTGCGTTCCCCCGAGAAACTTTGCATTCCCTCGCAAAGACATTCGCGTTCCCACGCAAAAGTTTTGCGTTCCCCCGAGAAACTTTGCGTACCCTCGCAAAGTTATTTGCGTTCCCACGCAAAACTTTTGCGTTCCCTCGCAAAGATATTTGCGTTCCCACGCAAAACCTGTTGTGAGCTCGGACAGACACTTCCTGTTTAATGTCCCGCTGGCAGTGCTTCAGAGCTCCGTACGTTAATGGAGCGTTTCATAGTGTTTGAACTTGGACTCAAATATAAAGAAATGCGGTCCGTGCTTAACTCAAGGAGTTCAATGAAGTTGGCAATATATTCACATGCTATTCGAAACTCCCGGATCAATATTCTTGAGCTAAACGTTGTTAAAACACAAACGACACATATTTACAACCACAGTAACCTAGACAACGAGCTACAACCCAATTCTCCTCAAAACGAGCTTTATAATATAGGCTAAATGGATCTCTATGACCACGCAGGCGGCTGAGTCCGAAGGGACCATCTGCAAAGTGCAATATAACCCAAAAAACGACTACAGCATCAACTCATAGTCAAAAATCTAAAAATAGTCATTAACTTGAATGTTACAAACCACCCAATTCAGTTTACACATCAATGGTAAACCCACTGGTCATGCACTGCTTCTGCACATTTTATATTATATAAAAAATATATATTTAATAACTTCACTGTAACACACCAAATTTAGTTCACACATCACTGCTCTAATGTTGGTCATACAACACTTAGTTTGGGATCTGACTGATGTGTGTTCAATTTTGACTTTTAGTGTTTTCACCTGGGTAATTGTTTGCTAACTGAGCTGAAGCTGTGCTGACTTGAGTGAACAATATTGAATGCTAGTGCTTTCTAAATGACCACGTGGTATAAGCAATGAGAAATGAAGGGATTTGTGTGTAGAGTTTTGCTGTAACAGTTCAACAAATCTGACTTATGTGTCAAAACAGGGGAATAGTGTTCATAGTTCAGTGAAATGGGTGTGCTTTTTGATAAATGGCATTATAGTTTTGACATTTTAGTTCAAAAGCCTGGTTATAGTGTTTAAGCAATCGAGAAAAACTGTAAAGGGATAGTTCACCCAAAAATGTTTTTTTTTATTACTTACTCACCCTCAAGTACCAAACATGTATGAGTTTCTTTCTTCTCTTGAACACAAAAGTGTGTGTGTGTGTGTGTGTGTGTTTAATTTTTTTTTTTAACCCTCTGATGGTCTTCAAAAGACCGAAGACCACGGGGTCTATTGGACCCCAGACAACAACATTTAATTTTGTAACCGAACAATATATATATTTTTTAACAAATATAATTTTACTCTGTTTATTAATGTTTTTACTCAACATTTGTGCAGTTTTTGGAGAATTTATGATTTTTTTTTTTTTTCTATAAATAAATAAATAAATATTTAATTAAATAGGATTTTTACAAAAAAACAGCATTTTATGTTAAATAAACTTTACAAAAGACCCAGATTTCTAACTTTCATTCCTGGGGATACCATGGATAATTTTACAAGGTTTAATGTAAGATTTTTGCCCATTTTTTGGAAAATACAGGTTAAAATTTGTAATAAATCACTTTAACCACTAGATGGCTATAGAGCTCCATTATATGCTATTTGCTATTTGAATTACTGAAAGATATAGTTTCTAAAGTTGGATTCAGTTGGATTCATATCTAAATATTATAAAATCACAATTATAACAAAAATAATATAATTTTTGTCAAAATTTAGCATTTTTTGTACTGAAAAAACACTATGCATGGTAAACCGCATGACTTCTGCAGACAGGGTTGGAGCAGGTTTGGCACTTCACTGTTGTTGTTGTTGTTGTGTGTGTGTGTGTACATTTTATTTTTATTTTTATGTGTACAGTGTCACCAATTTATTTTTGTGGTGGTTCTTCATTTTGTATGATTTTATTTGACAAATTATAAGACTTTTTATAGCCTTACAAATGTATTCCTGTGTGTGTGTGTTTGTGTGTCTGTGTGCGTGCGTGTGTGTGTGTGTGTATGTGTGTGTGCGCACATTTTCAATGCGTCTAAGTGTTACCAATTTATTTTTCTGGAGGTTCTGCATTTTAGATTATTTTATTTTACAAATGATAAGAGAACAGTTTTTATAGTCTGTATGTATTCCTGTATAAATGAATTCCTCTTTATGTGTGTGTTTGTGTGTGCGCCTGTGGTGAGCATGATAATTTTGGATTGTGGATGTTTTTTGCATTGTTGGAAGTGTGCCACTTTATTTCTGTCATTTCTGTCTATGTGTTCTACGTTGTTTCTGATTTTGATGGTGTTATTTTGTCTATTTTGATTGCGGGGTCCAATAGACCCCGAAGACCACGAGTGTGACTATTTTTGTCACGCCAACATAAAAACAGATATCATTAAATTTTTTTTTTTTTTTTTTTAGATCTAGAAAGTGTTGAGAGCCGTAGAAAGTTTCAAACCATTTGGACAAAGAGAACATTTTTTTTAATTTGAGCAAAAGTCATTTGGGGTCGAATAGACCCCGAAGACCATCAGAGGGTTAAATACAGTTTGGTTTGTTTTGAATTTTTTTACTGTATTTTAAGGAATACATCTAATGACCCTAAAAAAGTAATGTGGTGCAACCATACAGTGTGTATATACCGTATATATATATATATATTAATGCACTGCTTCTATACTTGGGATACAATTTTTACACTCTTGGCATCTTTACAAATGTTACTATGTCAATGTGGAAACAACACAGATACGCATGGGATGGAACCACCTATCGATGACCTTTGGAAGACTTTTATGATTGTTTTATAAAGGTTGTGGGGATCAGCCAGGAAGCATACACTGAATCTAATACAAGCAAGGTAAGGCATCTTTAACACTGAATCACACTTTAGCTTTTTGACACTTTAAAGACAGAGATATTATTTTTACATTTCAATATTTGTGTCATCATCGCTATAACTGAACCTGTATTGTTTCTGACAGATATGGCGGTCTTTTATGGTCTTCGGCTGGTGTCTCTGGCTGTGCTGATGCTGGTGTCTCAGCTGGACCAGTGCTGCTGTTCGGGTGTATGGACAATCGCCCTCATTCATAGTTCATTTTTGAGTTTTTTTGTTTTGTTTTTCTCTTTAGGAGCATTCAACAGATAGGCCTACCTAGTAAGTAGTAGGCTCATTATTTAGGGATGTGCATTTAGTAGGCACTACACTGACCGTTCTGTAACATAAAAACTATAGTGTGAAATGTTTACAAGTAGGCTATAAAATGTGGGATTTGCAACACCAACATTTGAGAATGAGAGGTGATTCTGAATCAACTTATCCCTACTGAAGTCTCAAGTATTAGTTGCCTCTGCTTCTCAATTCACACTGAATCTAGTTTTATTTGATATAGGCTATGTCTTTATTAATATGGTATTGTGAATGTTAGTTTTTTGTAAATAGATTAAAAGGATTTTAGTAAAAAGTAAATGAATAGCCTATGCAATCAGTAAATGGAGAACACACACACTTAAAAAAAACTGTTAAACTTTATTGTTATCAGTCTCAAAGTAGCTTTACAAACTGCTGATTTAGAACAGGTTTATTTCGCATCATAACTGTAAAACATAGTCCCTTTTTTCAGATAACAAGTAATGGTGAAAGACCCATATTGCACCTCTCTGCCACACGTGCCCAAGGGATCATCAAAATTCATGTCTTCGTCCCACACCTCCATCTTCAGGTTTTCACCAAATTCGCAGTTTGGGAAGTTGAACTCTGCAGACCATGTAGGATTTCTGTTATCCTTGATATATTCTGTCTGCCCCCCAAAAGTAGAGCCACACCAGACCTTGACGTATGGATCGGGTCTGTTTAGAAGAGCGTCACCGGTGAGGTCTTTGGCATGTAAGCCGAAAAGCCGAACAGCAGCGCTGGCAGAGTCCAGCTGAGACGCCAGCATCAGCACAGCCAGAGACACCAGCCGAAGACCATTAAAGACCGCCATATCTGTCAGAAAGAACAGATGTTCAATCAGAAGGTTTAATACACACAAATATCGAAATGCGGAAATAATGTCTAAAGGTGTAATGTAGTAAATATGCCTTACCTTGCTTGTATCAGGTGTGGAGTGCTTGTTTTCTGATCCTAGCCCCCTTTATAATGCAATGACCATTGCAAAATTCTTTGAATTGGTGATCAACGACAGGTGGTTAAAATCCCATGCGTATCTGTTATCAGCTTTGCTATGTAACAAGTTGGCAAATTTGTCAATTCAGCAAGAGGATATAACAACTATTTGAATCATTCACTGTCCTGAGCCAGCTACAGAAGCAGGTTTTTCATGAGCAGAAAACTATTTTAGTTTTTTCTACCTCAAATGTAATATTCTTTGAAATTGAGAAAAATGTAAGATTGTCATAAAACTGAATCATCTCTTCATTCAAACCCTAGTGCTCTGGTTTACTAATTGTAATGTCATCTGTAGAGCTGAGACATCTGTCTTCCTGCTTTATATAATTTAAGGTGTTTATTTATTATAAGATTGTAACAATTGTAGGTAGTAGGCAAAGGCAAATAAGAGCAACTGCTGGTAAATTATTTTTTCCCCCAGCTGCTGAAACTGATGTGCTTTCATACATGAAGATTTGTATTTCAGATATATATATATATTTTTTAATTTAATTTACCCTGTCTTTGTCTTTGGCATTTGTCTTTTTGTGTTGCTGAGCTGTGGACATTTTCTAAAGCACATGGCAAATTGATCTGAAACTGGTCCAACTCAAAGTCCAACATCACAGATCCAGAAGAAAGTCTTGCTCAAGGACAGGACACAGAGTAGGCCAGTGTTTCCCAACCCTGCTCCTTCACTGTAAAAAAGAAAAAGTTAGTTCAACTCAAATTTTCAAGGCAACCGACTGCACAGAATTTTTGAGTTGAAGATATCAACTTAATTTAAGTTTTGAAGAACTAAAATTATTAAGTTGCGTCAGCTAAGTTTTTCAATTTCTGACAACTAAGTTTTTTAAATTCAAGTTACTGGAACTTTCAAGTCTGTAAAAGCTAACCATCCCCTGTAATAACTTACTATTTTGAGTTTAAATTACCCCCATATCCCACCCCACCCCATCCCATCCCATCCCATCCCACCCCACATTAAATCATCCACTGACAGTAAACCAGTTAATTTATGCATGTTTATTTGAACGACTTTGGCACAAACAGCTTTACAATTCCACAATGTAAACAAGTAATCTTATACCCAAAGCAAATACATCAGGTTTCAGAACCGTAATATGGGCGGGTTTTTTTTCTTCTTTCCGACTTTTGTTGAGACCTTACAAATAATGCAATATTGCCAAAGATGACTGATAAACAGTTGTATAGTGCCTAAGTATTAAAGGATTAGTTCCAAAAATGAAAATTATGTCTTTAATGACTCGCCCTCATGTCGTTCCAAGCCCGTAAGACCTCCGTAAATCTTCGGGACACAGTTTAAGATATTTTAGATTTAGTCCGAGAGCTTTCTGTCCCTCCATTGTAAATGTATGTACGGTATACTGTCCTTGTCCAGAAAGGAAATAAAGACATCATCAAAGTAGTCCATGTGACATCAGTGGGTTAGTTAGAGTGTTTTGAAGCATCGAAAATACATTTTGCTCCAAAAATAACAAAAACTAGGACTTTATTCAGCATTGTATTGTCTTCCGGTTCTGTTGTGGATCCGCGTTCAGTGCCGCTGCTGACGTAAGACGCTGCTGACGTGTGTCTGGTGCGCCCGAGCTTCGTTTACAGTCTGAGACGCACGCTGGAAACAAAACAATCTTCGCAAACATGTCTAAGGATTTCCACACAGAGGAAGACTTGCATTTTTTTGCCCAGCCATATTTATTTGAACCCGAATACACGGGCGCACCAAATACACGTCAGCAGCGTCTTACGTCAGCGGCGGCACTGAACGCGGATCCACAACAGAACCCGAATACACACACACACACACACACACCAGACACACGTCAGCAGCGTCTTACGTCAGCAGCGGCACTGAACGCGGATCCACAACAGAACCGGAACACACACACACACACACACACACACGTCAGCAGCGTCTTACGTCAGCAGCGGCACTGAACGCGGATCCACAACAGAACCGGAACACACACACACACACACACACCAGACACACGTCAGCAGCGTCTTACGTCAGCGGCGGCACTGAACGCGGATCCACAACAGAACCAGAATACACACACACACACACACCAGACACACGTCAGCAGCGTCTTACGTCAGCAGCGGCACTGAACGCGGATCCACAACAGAACCGGAACACACACACACACACACACACACACACACGTCAGCAGCGTCTTACGTCAGCAGCGGCACTGAACGCGGATCCACAACAGAACCGGAACACACACACACACACACACACACACACACACACACACACACACACCAGACACACGTCAGCAGCGTCTTACGTCAGCGGCGGCACTGAACGCGGATCCACAACAGAACCAGAATACACACACACCAGACACACGTCAGCAGCGTCTTACGTCAGCGGCGTCACTGAACGCGGATCCACAACAGAACCGGAAGACAATACAATGCTGAATAAAGTCCTAGTTTTTGTTATTTTTGGACCAAAATGTATTTTCGATGCTTCAACACACTCTAACTAACCCACTGATGTCACATGGACTACTTTGATGATGTCTTTATTTCCTTTCTGGACAAGGACAGTATACCGTACATACATTTACAATGGAGGGACAGAAAGCTCTCGGACTAAATCTAAAATATCTTAAACTGTGTCCCGAAGATTTACGGAGGTCTTACGGGCTTGGGACGACATGAGGGAGAGTCATTAATGACATCATTTTCATTTTTGGGTGAACTAACCCTTTAATTCAGAAATGTGTAAATCACAAAAATGCAAACATGCAGGCTATAACAGTAATGGTGAAACACAGCTAGCTTCTGCTGAACAATCAATACCATATAATCTCTTGACAGTAATATGACAGCTACACATAAAAGGTTTGTTTTTATTTCAAATAAAGCACTTGTGTGCAGAGCAAATAAGGCACGTCAATAAGTTGGGGAAATCAAAAGGAACAACATAAAAAGTACAAGGTGGTCTATGTGAAGACTTACAAAATATACAAACATAATAAATGAACAGACATGATAAAATAAATCTTCCCCATGGAAAATGAATCACTGGTTTAACAGCTTGGTCTTGAAGCTCCGGACACGCTGTGAGCAATTGGTGGACATTTCCATGAAAATGTGCTGGATAGTTTCAAAAGTATACCTGATGTCTTTTGGGAAATCCATGTTGAGGGCATAAAGCAAGCCAAAAAGATACGCAAGTGCAGTCGGTTGTCTGGGATGTCTTTCAGGACAATGGTTTCCTCCAACACAAGGGCAATATTAATGACTGCGTCGTCATCATCAAGCACTGTGAGGACCCCCATCTTGATGCCTTTCATCTGTTTGTCATCTGCATCAGTTGCCTGACAAAACAAAAACACCACTGAAATAATGTCCTGTAGAAAACTAGTCAATAAAGAGTGATGTCTATTTGTGTATGGCCTCTTTGCTATAGAACACTACTAAAAGCTAAAGGTCTTCCAAGCTGCACTCACCAGGCATCTAGAGAAAAGCTTCCCAGTATTCTCCCGCAGAAATATGGGAAGACCTTCCACAGCTGCCTGTCTGCGATGACTTGTGATGTCAGATGTCTGTTTTGGAAGAATATAAAGACAAACAAATACTTTTGTTTAGCTCTGTGAAATGTACTTGTGCATGTACTTGTTCCATTTGTATTCCCATTTCTACTATTGTGCATGTAGGCAGATACAATAAATGCAGCCTCTGTTAGTTTGTTAGTGTTTCTTTTTGTCTTTTAAGGATAAGTTCACTATTTTGCACTCTGAGCCCCCTTTCTGGGTTATCTTGGATGAAATAGAGTGTCAACGAACACCACTAACCAATCGGTGAGTTGCACATATTTGAAAACGAACGTTTAGGGTTGATTTAAAGACAGGTTTGTGAATGCATGTAGCTAGCCATTCTGAAGCATGGCAGGGCCGATTCTAAATCAGCCAAAAGCTCAAGACTGAACCAAAAGTCACAATTCTGGTGTCAAACACTATTTCATCAACCCAGAGAGGGGGCTCAAAGTGCAAAACCGTGAACGTATCCTTTAAATATTACTGTATTAAATAGTCAATCAAGATGGAACTCGCTCACCAATGTAGCTGATGCAAAAAAATAATTAAGTTATATTACATCAAAAGTGCAGAGTGCTAGCTTGGTAGTTCCTTCTTGATTAATGGTTTAAAAATTAGTGGACAAACTGAAGAAAAGGCCTTGTAGTCAATATAACAACCTGTTTGTCAAGCATTTCCAAAAGGGTTTCCATCTCTCGACTAATAGCGCCCTTCCTGGCACGATACAATTTCAGCAGACAAGGGGTGAACATCTCAAGAGCAGCTTGAAATGTTCCCATCAGGTCCTTGGTGGCCACACAAGTGAACTCTTGACAAATCTGAATGAAACAAATGCAATACAAATACAACAAGCTGATAGTGCGATTTCATTGTTATAATTAAGACTGCAAACTCAAAGCCATAATACAAATGAACCTACATACATTATTATGAAAAAAACATAACACAAATGTGCGCGGAGAGTTTGTGTTTGTGTGTGCTCGCGTGTCATTGTGTATGTGGGCGAGTTTGTGTGTGTGCTCGCGACCTCGCGTCTCATATAAGTATGCGCGTGGAGAGTTTGTGCGTGCACGCCCGCGTCTGATATAGCAGCTATGTGTGCGGAGAGTTCCGCGCGTCTTGTGTGTGTAGAGTTAGCGTGTATGTACATTTCATATGTATTTGTTTGAGCACTGACGTTGACGAGTTAACTGCTTAGGTATCGAAATCTGGAACGAACAACATGTCATTTTTTGCTACTCAATCGTATCGAGGCAATTCAGTCGGTACCTAAAAAGTATCTAACTTGGTACCCAGCCATACACAGAGGTCGCATGCTAGAAGCTATATCTATAGTTAACTAACGTTACCGTATCAAACCGAAGTTTTGCATCACAGTTGTAGCGCCTTGGTTGCAGCGCATGGTCACGAGCAGCAATGTGAACTATAACCGCCGCCGGTGCTTCGGTTTTATGTTAATG